GGCCTTTTCAAGGCCTTTTCGTGAACCTTTATGGCCAGTGGAGGTGACATTAATCTAAAAAATATATTGTGATTTTTATTATTTATTAATATTTTTACACTTCAAGACTGCAGAAAAAAAACATTCATGCACAAGAACAGAATTTCATAAAAACTAGTGCAGCTGAACTAGTCAGATAGTTTTTTCCTAATTCTTATTATATAGTCCTAAAGGTGTTTAAAGATAACCCTGATGGATTTGAGAGAAAGATTATAGAAAGAAGTTGGATTATTTAGAAAACAGGCTATCATAAGCTAACACACTTTAATTTTTGTATAAGTATTTTTGTATTAGTAGTATTGATTACATATTTGCATAAAATTTATTAGTGTTGTGAGTATAAAAACTAAAAAAAATGTTGTGTTTGGTCACATTTTCAAAGAGCCACTGCAGAGGGACCAAAGAGCCACATATGGCCCCAGAGCTGCAGGTTGCAGACCCCTTCCTTAGAGGGACACTTGTTGAGATGCTTATTGAAAGTCTGGTTGTGTTTCTGCTATTTATTTCTACCTTCTCTGAGTTTTTGTTCARTTCTGTTTAAAGATTTAAACAACTAAAACCTACTCTGTTCACTCTGAAGTAAATGTTGTGTGCACTTAGTGGGACACCTGAAACCTGTTTTATCACAGATCTTAAATTAATTGAGTTCAAAGAAAACTCAACAAGCTGGGTTCACACAATGTCATGTAGAAAACATTTCAGGGATTAGAGATTTCTGGAACTGATACCTTTTCTACTTCGATCCGTCTTTCCTCAGTAATATCCCCAGTGAGGGCAGCRCTATGGACCAGGACTACAACCAAACCTACACACCTCAGACCCACACACCTTTCATGTCCAACAGTGCTCCACCCAGTAACAGCGGCATTGGCATCCTGCCCTCRCCTGCCACCCCACGCTTCTCAGCCCCCACCCCGCGCACACCTCGGACCCCACGCACACCTCGAGGCCCCTCAAGCGTCCAGGGCTCGTTAAAATATGAGAACTCTGATCTGTACTCGCCAGCGTCCACCCCCTCCACGTGTCGCCCTTTGAACTCTGTGGAGCCCGCCACTGTACCCTCCATCCCAGAAGCCCACAGCCTTTATGTCACCCTCATCCTGTCAGAGTCTGTCATGAACCTCTTCAAGGACTGCAACTTTGACAGCTGCTGCATCTGCGTGTGCAACATGAATATCAAAGGAGCCGATGTGGGTGTGTACCTGAGCGATCCGGTCAGCGAGGCCCAGGAGGCATGCAGCTGTGGCTTCAGCGCTGTGGTCAACCGACGTTATGGGAATAGCTCAGGGCTGTTCTTGGAGGACGAGCTGGACATCATTGGACGCGGTTCGGATGTCAGTAGGGAGGCAGAAAAGCGCTTCGAGGAGCTGCGGCTCTCCTCACTTGAAAAAACTGGAGTTGGGAGAGGAGACATTGTGCCGGATGAGCTGATTCTGCTGCTGCAGGATCAGTGCATGAATCCCTTTTCATCATTTTCAATCATGGAGAATGACACCGTGACGTGGGGGCCAAGCGGAGCCCCAGAAACCCCATGCCTAAGGGTGGAGGAGAGAGACTACTGCAGTGACTGCTACATGGCCCTGGAGCACGGCAGGCAGTTCATGGACAACATGTCAGGTGGCAAAGTGGACGAGGCGCTGGTGAAAAGCACCTGTCTGCACCCMTGGGCCAAACAAAATGGTGAGTCATCAACTAAAGTTTTGTGTTCAGTTGAAACACTGCAGACTTGTTAATTTTTAATTTTTTTATCGGATCAGCCAAACTGAAAAACAAGTGTGACTTGTAGTCTGCAAAATATGATATTTTTATTTGGTTGTTGACAGTTTATTACATCATTTGAGATAGGCCTGTCGTGATATTCATTAAATCAATTAATTGCACAATAAATTTTTTTTTGAGGTTGGTAAAAAAAATGAGGACGATAAGTTTAATTTTGCTGCTTGTTTGTTTACTTCGTCTCTCTCCCTCTCTGTGC